CAGATTTTGAGCGTGAATTTAAGAGAGAGAGAAAAAAGGGGCAACAAAGGATTTTGGTTGTTATGATGGAGGGATGAAGGCGTGATAGGGAGGTGGAGGAGAGGATGAGATTTGTCTCAGAGCCTGACCAGAACCACACCCAGAGACAGCTGCCATCAGAGAGAGCACGAACAATTTCTTTTTTTTTTTTGTTTTTTTTTTGGGAATCGGTTAAATTTTAAAAATTACAAAATATGCATAACAAATTACAAAATGAAAGCGAGAGATAGAATCATAAATCATACTAATTGTTGTCTCTTATCCATTATGCTCTATATTATTTATTCTAACTTATATTTTTTTCTTAGAGAATTTTGATGAATTGAGTTAAAGTTATGCTAGTTGTAAAAATACAGTATTGTTTTTTGCCCAGGTAAAGATAGCAAATTACAAATTTATGAGGCAGAGAAAATAAAACCAAGATGTTTCTTTTTTTTTTCCTTTTACATAATAGTAGTTGATTGAAAAAATATATAAAATTGTAAGCGAAGTTCGAATCTTTGTTGTACTACAAAATATATAAATACAAAATCTAAGTTTATATTAATATTAGGAAACATCATGGACTATAAATGTTACTAAGAAAAGTAAAACTTAACTGTATTAAATTGGTTAAGATATATACATTTAATTTAGATAATGGATCTTATAAATGGTCTCTTTAAGGTTTTCTTCTCTGGGATCATATTTATATATATATTTTTTTATTTATTTTATATTAATCAAACTATGTAAATTACTGATTATATTGTGGTGGCCTCTTCCAATAATTTATCGTTAACTTTGGAGACCGGGTCGTGGATGTGGATCACATGAGGAAGTATCGACAAGTGACTATGGATACGATCGGACGGCTGATGTTGGTTTGAAGTGACCGCTTACTGGATAGTTGACTGCTTAAAGTCTCTCTCTCTCACAAACATCGAGTATGCAATTTCATGTGTCGCCTCATACTTTTCAAGTATTTAAATCTCATCATATCCTCATTTATTCTCACTTCCCATGCGTCTTTTTCCTTTCTCTGCTTTTTCTTTTTCCTTCTATTTTTTTTCATACTACCTTTATTTTGTTTATTTTTTTAATTTACGCTCTCCCATCTTTCTAAATCTTTTTTAGTATAATATGTAGGATTGGGAATTCGAACTCATGACTTTTGGTCAGAAATAGATGTCTTAACCGCTTGAACTATGTTCGATTTGACATATTTCTAAATTTTTTAAAGACGTGTTTGGTTCGTAATCCATAATCTTTTTTCTTCTTTTGAAATTGAGTAAATATCTATTTGAAAATTTTGTTTTCAAAAATTATTTTAAGACCTTGTGAGTCGAAATTTTGAAATGTTTTTATATTTTAAATTTAAAACTATAAAATGAATAAAAAATAAAATTTTGATAAATATATTATTTCATATTATAAATTAATTTTATTCATTGTTGAAATAAAAATGTGAAATAATAACCCTACAAAATTATAAATAAAACATCAATTAATATTGTTTTAGATTGAACTAAATACTTAGTTGGTTACTAACATTAATTTGCATATTTATTACTAAACATCTTAAAACAATTTTTTAAATTAACATTCAATTTTCAAATATGCTCAAATAGCTACTCTACACCTATCTGAAAATACTGAAAAGAACGCTCTATTTCATTGAATTACTTGTTTTCATATCAGCCATCAAACTCATTCTAACTTATTGCCATTTTTTTCCTAAATATTCCGTTTTTTTTTATTTTGAAAAGTAGGTTTACAATATCAAATATTTACAATCCATTTGGTACAGATTTGTTTTGAATATCACATCATTGATTTCTCTTTCAAAAAAATTAACATTTTTAAAACATGAAGAAAAGTATTGAACTTTTTCGAACTCCAATCTCTCGGGGGCAAATTAATTAAATCACTATTTTAAATTCAACTAATTGTGTTCGATGTCCATGGAACATTGTGTTCGTCTCAAATTTTTAGAGAACTTCTCTTAATTCGCAATCAATCAATATCAACTATATTACTTGTTATTTGTAGCTAGCGATGTGGAGAAAATCAATGAATCATTCTTTTATGAGTGCCACTGTCGAGTTCCAACCCAATACAGGTAAATATCAAATATAATTGATATGTATTCTTCCTCTTTTTATTTAATACAAGTAAATGTTTGATTTTACTCTTTATTTTCCATCTTTACAATTGTTAGGTAAGAAACAACCTTCTTTATTTTCCATTATGAGCATCTTGCCACAAACATTAAGGAATTATTATATTTTTAATCTTAGCATGCTTCGAGTTAAAGGCATTGTGAAAGGCATTTTGAAGATAGAGAGAAAAACACATAATTACCCATTATATATGTGTGGTAATTATTACGTTTTGAGGGTAACTTAAAGGTCTTGCTTAATATTAATTATCAATAGGTAGCCATATATATAGGCCATACAACAGTAATGAGAAATTAGTTACTTTAACTAATATCTAACTAAGTAACTAATCCTAATACTCCCCCTCAAGATGGAAGGAGAAGATTTGATACACCCATCTTCGATAACAAATGAGAAAAAGAAGGAGTAGAAACAGCCTTAGTAAAAATGTCAGCAAGTTGAAGATCCGAACGCACAGGGAGCAGTTTAATCAACCCAGCTGATACTTTGTCTCGTACGAAATGGCAATCCAACTCAATATGTTTGGTC